CAACCAATATTAAAGTAAATTCAGTTTCGGCACTTCCTTCTGATTGAAGTGGATGACTTAACGAGTATGAGGTCTATGAGTGTATGAAGCAACATCGTACATTTTATTTTTAAATGGTATATATTCTGGTTTAAAATTATTTTTGTTTTTAATATTCAAAGTATAATAGCGGCAAAGAACATTTTCATTAAGATATAGACTAAATTAAGATAATTTGTTTTTAACAGCTTCACAAGAAAACAATTTTTCCCCACTTGGTTTTCTACATGCCCCCTCTTTTTTGCAGTAATATATAACTGTTTGCCTATGTAAATAAATACCCATATTCCATTATCCTGATAAATGTATAGTTTTTAGAGCGAGAGATTACTATAGATTACCATTTTTTCTATTTCGGTTCTAACAAATATGAATATTCATTTCAAGTTTATTCTTCTGTTGATAGAAAGCTCTAACTATAATTGTAATATCCAATAATTTTTAAAATGACATTTTTATTTATTTTGATGTCCATAATATAGTACTCTCATTAGGGAAATGATGATAATTTAATGTAACATCAAGTTATAGTGTAAATAATTCTGTGCTGTTTTTATATTTAAGAAACCCATTGTTTCAGATTAAAAAATGGCTCTTTTAAGATATGTATTTCCTCAGTTCCTTAAATGTAATGCTGGTAGACTTTATAGTCATTAAATATATCTTATCAGATGTTGACTAGTTGGGGAATATAAATGATGGCAATTCTTCAAAGTTTGTAATCTTTAGTATATTACTTAAAATAAATCTATGGGACAATTTGCTCTTAGGTTGGTATGTGAAGAAATGCTCTATAAAATCATACTTTCATCTGTTTTCCTCTCAATTTTTTTCTTTAAATGACAATTATGAGTGAAATGCATGATTTTATATGGTAACCAAATAATGTTTTACACTGAGTATAAAAATCTTCCTCCCTAAAAAAAATATCATGGAAGAATTTCTTAGAGTTTGGAAAAACCTATCAGAAAAAGTACAAAATCCAGAAGCCATAATAGAAACCTTAAAAAATTCAAAATTTACATTTAGCATTCATGCTAATAGATACCCATGAGTAAAAAGATAAACTAAAATATTAAAACATATCAAACACAGAGCTAAGTTCCTTAGTATGTAAAGCATTTAAATACAGTGAAATAAGATTGACAGCCTAGAAAAATGAGCAAAGAGCTTTGATAGTTCTCAAAAAAACCCAAAATTTAAACATAGAAAAGACGCATAATTTCACCCATAGTAAAAAGTGCAGATTAAGTACTAGAGTATAAAACCAATTATTATTTATCAGATTGAAAGTTCCTTGTGGTTTTATACAATAATGTCTATAATAGTAATAAATAAGAAATAACCTCACATTTCTATTGACAGAACCTAGATGAATAAACTACAGTACATTTGTAAACTGTAATATATGCAGGTATTAAAAAAGAACAATACAGGTTTCAGAGTACAAATATGGAAAACATTAAAGAGGTATTGTTAAATGAAGAAAGCAAAATTAAAGTGAAGTGAATTATACACTCAATTTTTGTGAAAAAGAAACTATATAACACATTCACATGTACACACACAATACTGACTTGGAAAATGAGGATAATAGTTTCATTTGAGACTAGAACTGAGGGATCGTGAACTATAGCTAGAAAAGGACTTCGTTTTTCATCTTTTATGTTGATTAATTTTTCTTTACTGTGTTAATAGATTCTTTTTTTTTCAATAACTGATTAATTTGATTTCCTCTCATTAGTTTTAAAGTTGACTTCATTGAGGTGTATTTCACCCTGTAATTTTTTTTACCTTTTACCTTAAAGCAATTATCAATTCACAGTCAGTTTCAAAAATAGTAGAGAGGTCCATGTACCCTTCTCCCAGTTTCCCCCAAAGGTTACACCTTTTATGACCATGATGCAATTATCAAAACTATTTAGAAAATTTACATTGAAAATATGTGCATGTATAGTTCTATGACATTTTATTTCCTTTGTAGATTTGGATAGCTACCACCAACGGTCAAGATGCGGAACCATTCCGTGGTCACAAAGATAGCCTTTTTGGTTTTTTAACGTCAGGCTTGCCCCTTCCCTCCCCACCGTCTCTCATCCCTGGTGACACCACTAATCCGTGTTCCATCACTGCAGTTTTGTCACATCGAGAATGATATATAAGTGGAATCATACAGCATGTGACTTTTCTTTAACCTTTCAAGACAGGCATTTTTTCACTTAGCGTAAGGATCTTGAGATCCATCCAAGATTGTGTTTAAACATATAAAACAAGTTGAAAGAAATAAAATTTGTAAACAATAAAGTAAAACACCTAATTGAATACAACTTGAAATACCTCCTGTATGCCACAGATTTCTTGATTTTGGGGGGGATATTGAGATGAATAAAATATTGTTTCTTCTCAAAAATCAGTAAAGCAGTATTGATATGTAAATAGGGTAAAGTCTAATAGGTATTCTATTAGAGATGGGGCCAGGAATGAAAAAAAATATATATATATATATAATATATTCAGAGTCATATATAATATGTGTGTGTATATATATATTCATATTCCTTTTAGATTTCAGAGTAGTTTACATCCTATAAATTAATTAATCTGCACAAAAACCTTATGCAATAGAGCACTGTCTGTCCGGAAAAAAATAACAGTCAAGCCCATTTTTTATATTTGAATGCTCACATCAACTCTAGGAAGAGGGTACCATTATTGTCCCCATTTTAGTAGGGGGCAAAGAGAACTTAACTTGCAGAAGGTAACATTTCTTTTACTAAGTGCCATTGCTAGTATTCAAATCCAGGTTACAGGACCCTCAGTCTTAATAGCTAAAGTCTGAATTCATCTCTGCTTTGCAAACAAAAGATGTAAGAATCAGAGGTTAAATAATTAGTTCAACATTATACTGCTAGTTAGTGTCAAAGCCAGTACAAGAGACATGTTCTCCTGTCTAAATCCAGTGATCTGCTCAGTGTACTCCCCTGCCTCCAGTTGGTAGAGGAGGTGCAAGGAAGGGGACGGGGAAGCGCCATTTTGGTAGCACTACCCATCATAAGTACTAACAAATCACAGAGTGTGTGGTTTCTCTAAGAAAACAATTGGAGTGAAAACAACTTCCTTTTTATGAAAATGTTTCCTCTAGTCAAGTAATTCCAAATAATGTGTTTTGCTCAGTAACTTTGATATGATTTCTTAAGAAATGTTCAGTATTACTGGATAAATAGCTGGTATTCATTTAAAACTTGCTTCTGCTCTGTGAAAAGACTTTGTCAGCAGTCCAGAATGAGGGTAGTGCTAACAGAATTCCAACTTTTCTGTAGGACGATCCAAAAACAGCAAACAGAAGGCATTAAATTTCTTAACAGTCACAAGTGCGTGCATGCATGCCACGCCATTCTTGTCATTCATTGCTTTTCAGTGTGCGCATTGTAAAGTTGAAATACTTTGATTTGCAGACTAATATATTCCATAGAGAACTTTTTCATATAGTATGAAAAAAGCAGAATAGCTTAAGAGTATGTGAGGTCTGTGTACTCTACCCTACATTTATACAGATCTTAAGTGATGTATGTGTTTAGTATGATTTTAGGATATTTGCCTAGGTGATGTGTCTTCATGTGTATAAGACATTAGCTGGATTAAGATCCCAAGCTGTTTCTCTTGCTCATTTCAGAAGCAGGTTTACACAAGTACTCTGATGTAAAACACAGACTATGAAGTGTGTATAAAATGATTGTTAAATTAAGATTAGGAATACCTAATCTCATCTATTCTATAATCCTATCTCAGTCTCAGTAGCCATAACAGCAAATTCAAAAGCCAGTAACAGAATTATTGGGTTGGCCAAAAGTCCATTATATTTTTCCCATAAAACAAAAGATATATTTTTCATTTTCACCACTAACTTTATTTAGTTGGATATTTTGAGTATGTCGGCTATCTCCTGCTATTGGCTTCTAGTGGGTAGAGGCCAGTGGTGCTACTAAACATCTTCCAATGCATAAGACAGCCCCACAGCAAAGAATTATTTGGCCAAATATCAATAATACCAAGAAACATTGTAAATCGCTTTTGATACGTTTGACCAGTCACAGCACCTTCTCCATACACTGCACAAATCTTTTTTTGTGTTTCAGTTGCATTTTTACCTGTCTTGAAATAATAAAGCATAATATGCTGAAAATGTTGCATATCTTCTTCCATCCTCTACATTACAATGGCTGCACAAAAATTCACCTATTTTGATTTTTTTAATGCACACTGGTATGACAGATGTCATAATACAGTCTAACAAAATTGTTTCAAATGCGGTTAAAGACGACTAAGTTCTACTAGAGAGATCATAACGAAAAAAAAACATAACTGACTTTTTAGCTAATCCAATATTTGGAGGCTTGCTTTAAAAGTATATAACTGATCTCACTCATATGTGGGATATAAAACTGAATGAAACAAATGAATAAACAATAAAACCAAACAAATGAAAACTCACAGACACAGACAGCAGTATGGGGATTACCAGAGGGAAGAGAGGTGGGGGCGGATGGTCAGGGTAAAGGGGTCAAATATATGGTGATGGCGGAAGGCTTGACTTGGGTGATGAGCGCATAATGCAGTATACAGATGAAGTATCATAGAATTGTACACTTGAAACCTATGCAATTATTAATCAATGTCACCCCAATAAATTTAATTTTAAAATAAAGGGGAAAAGAGAAAGAAATGGGTGAAGAAATAAACTGTTCACTCGGAGATTTCCTGAGCCATCTCCATCTTCACGCCAAAGCTTCACTGAAATCTCACAGAGTACAGTACTTGTTACCGTTGCATTGGTGATGGACTGTATTTTACTTAATGCAGCATTTACAACCATGTTAATAGAATGGCAGTAGGTGTAAGTGACATGTAGGTGACAACATAACACGTATTAAAATGTCTTCTTGCTTCTCTTTAAATTACAGCAAATTCAGTAAAGCTAGAGATGCAGAGTGATGAAGAGTGTGACAGAAAACCCCTGAGCCGTGAAGATGATATCAGGGGACATGATGAGGGCAGCAGCCTAGAAGAACCCCTAATTGAGAGCAGCGAGGTGGCCGACAACAGGAAAGTCCAGGAGCTTCAAGGCGAGGGAGGAATCCGGCTTCCGAATGGTAAACTGAAATGTGACGTCTGTGGCATGGTTTGCATTGGGCCCAATGTGCTTATGGTACATAAAAGGAGTCACACTGGTAAGCAGCTGAAAGAATAACCTGATGACTGCCTGTGACATCTGATGTTGATATTACCTGACATCTATTCTCTTTCCTTTTTATTCAGGGGTGGCAATGGTAAAACTACCTTTTCAGAATTCTGCTAGTATTGGATTGCTGAAAAGCAGAGAGTAGCCTGGGTCTTGACTTCCAGCCTTCATATTTGAATAGTGTATCAGGAAAGAAGTTTGGGATTCAGTTTCCACAGTTCTTAATATAGCAATAATATGATAACGGTTCAAAAGGTAGAGGAGAATTTCATTGTGCAACTTAATCCTTTTGTATTTCTACACATACTTTACCATACCCATGGGCAGGTAATACAGTTTTCAGGCGACGAGTTTATCCTCTAAAATGGTACTCATGCATTTATATAGGGGTGGATCATTTTCACCTTATCTAGTTAATTTCCTGGAATACAATTTCCAATCAGTCTTTGCCTACCATGGGTTTCCGTAGTAGGCAGATACTTATTTTCCCTAGTTGGAGAATTTTACCAACTTCTTGTATTTTTTTTTAATCATAAATCCTACCAGGAGATATGTAGGGTGGGTACAACAAAGGCTGGCGGGTGTGCAGGTAGGAACCTGTAATTGTGAAATAGGGTGAGGAAGAAGACCTCAGAGTAATTTAATATATACCTTTACACTTTCGATAATGTGGAAAAACAGTCAAATTAAAAAGCCTTATTTAGATCTCTATAAACCCTCTGGCAAAACTTTTTAAATTTATTAAAAATCAGAAATGTGATTGTGGCAGATAGATGACTCTTAAAAATTTTTCCAAGTTCATGTGAAAATTGATTTAAAGATAATGCTAGCTTTAACTATAATGCCAAGTGGTATTATTTAACAAAATACTAATAACTAATATACTCAGAGCTTTAAAATATGACACGCTTCTGGAAGAGAAATAAATTATAATAAAGAAATTGATTTAAAACACTGATTTGTAAATAATCAGTTTAATAAATAGGTGCTTAAAACGTGAGAGACGCAAGGTACATTGAAGTTTCCAATCTAAACCTCTCATTTACACTGGAAGAAACTGAAGCCCAAAAGAGTCAAGTGACTTATCCATTGTCCCTCATGTCGTTAAGGGCATTGTGAGGCTAGAGTCAAAGTTTCATGATACCCAGAGTGGTTTTGTTCAACTATACTATGCTTGGTAACCTACATTTTATGATGAGGTATTACCACTATAAGGCTAATATCTGAACAATTATAATGAGAAGGTACATGTTAAAATCAGTGTTATTTTAATAAAAATCATCAGCTTTATAAAGGATTTAAGATAATTCCAACCACATAAACAGTAATATTTTTACTTTTTGTTTTGAATTTTCTTTTAAAATATTTATATTTAAAAATTTATAGTAACAATACATTACTAGTGCAAATGTTTTTTTTCCTTTAATTTTTAAAAATGTCTCATGGAAAAGTTAAAAAATCAAGCTTGGACACCATATTTGATAAGATCAAAAAGGAAAAGACTGTAACATCATGTGTCTGTGCCCATGAGATAATTCCAGCTGCAGCTCTGGAAGGAGAGTCACACAAAGTTATAACGTATTCATTATCCACGAGTGATTATGTTGAGGAAGATGACACTCATTCAAATGGCTGACTTCTCCCATCTACAACATACAAATTACATACAATTAGTCTAATGACTTTCCAATTGAGTTGCCTATAGTGCTCATTTTAAGGCTGAAAAGTACACAAAAAACAATTTTTGTAAAATTTGAATAAACCTTTTACATTCTAAGTTAAGACAATTCAAAGAACCTAAGAATGCTCTTTTGAAAGGTTGTTGGTTTGTAAACAGTAATACTCACATACTTATTTTACTGTCCATTTGATATTTACTGCTATAGTAGAGTTGACTTATTTTGATTCTGAAATCTTCTAATTAACATGGAAAATATTTCCAAATAGATAAACAGATTTCTGTAAGTCCTGGTAATGTGAGATTCACTAAGCTAGTAAAGGCAAAGAGAATGGACAAAATAAACCAAAGTACTATTGCAACTGTATGAACTTTTACCATTAATGAATGTTTATCAGAATATTATAAAAATTCTTGCACTTTCCTTGGATATGAAAGGTTTTGTTAAAGTAATAGTCATTGATAGAGGAGCTTGGGATATCTGCCACATTGTTGACCTTGAAATTGTGATATATTTTTAAATTAGCTATTTTTATATGTATTTCTGCTGACCCAGTTTATGCGCCTGAGTGGGTCATGACATTTTCTACTCCATTTTAGTACTAGAATAGAATGTCTACTTGTATTTCTTTAATTTAAACTAGATGGAAAATATGCAGTCAGAATCTAGTCATTCACCAAATGTTTTCTCCTTAATGCCATGAACTACTGTGTTCACTTTAGAACTTCCACCTCTTACCAATTATTTAGAGCTAATATAAAAGGGACTGTCTTAAATCTCTATAAAGCCTTTGGGAAACATGTGTTTCGTGTTTTTAGCTCCAAAACTATCTACTATAAAATTCATAGTAAAAAAAGATACACAACTATCCAATTTATTAAATCACATGGAGTATCAGAACAAATTCATTTCTTCTTTCTCACTCTACTAAAGTACCAATTCCAGTATCTTAATAATGGGTTGGTGTTATTTCTTTGGTATTGTTACTTTAGTCGGTATTCAGGTAATATTGTCATCGGATACTCCAGGCACTCTGCTGGGAATACAGGGAGAAGAAAGGAAGTAGGGGCAATAAATCAATTCATGCATACAAAACACGAATTGATGTAAACATTATAAGTACAGAATATTAATTTGGCTCCTCTTTGGGGAAAGTACTCCCATCTTCCTAACTTTAAGGTTTCAGCACTGTATATTGTACATTGCAGCTTTGTGGAGCCATTCTCTTGCTCCAAGGCCCTCTCTCCAGGTGCTTGGAATTTTTCACATTCACAGGTTATTGTTCCATTCAACACAGGAACGCCCCCTGTTTTGATTCACCAAAGCGAACTGATGCATGACCACCTGCATTCCAAGTGAATATTTAAACCTGTATCTAGGAATATGTTTATGAAAGTACATAAAATATTGAAATACAATTTTTTATTCCATTATAAGCATAATAGATAACTTCATCCAGTGACTAACTAACAAGTGTCCTTGCTGAGATTAATAGATAGATTTACAAAAACAAGAAACAGAATGAGAATGGATTCAGAGTTCTTAATCCAGACTTTTGTACCCACCTACAGGAGGACTAGTTATCATACATGCAATAGCCTTCTTTGATTTTTTAAAAAATTGACTCTATAATGTTACTAATGTGTTTAGTAAATTTGTGGGACTTTCCTGAAATTTGCTTTATTTTACATCGGAAGAAGAACATTATTATGTTTTTCATACAAAGTCTAAACTGACTTGAAAAGGGCCAATCACTTCAGTCTGTTTATTAAAGAAAAACAGATTATTAAAAAAGAAATAATGCAGATGCATTATTTCAAGTTACATAGACAATATAGGTAGTTAACTAAACTTTTAATTGTCAAATCATTTTACAGATATTTCTCTAAGGCCTGGGCCAGAAAAATTCCAAATCATTTAATAAACGGGTTGTTCACATTTTGCAGGAATGGCTTTTTAGGAAAAAATTAGTCAATCTCCTTATTTGTTATTAAACAGATTTGGATATGATTCCTGTATTTGGATTATTCCTAGAATATAATGATGTATACTAAAAAGAAGTATCGTACGTTAAACTCTGTTTTCACCTTTGACTCCAGTAGTAGTGTCCTTGAGGGTTTTCAATGTTACTCCAACTAGATTTAGTGTGGAACTCATGGAAAAAAACACAGAATTGGGGGAAAAATTATCAAATTTACATAACCAAGAAACTAAGAGTAGTTAAGCATACTTCAGCCCCAAACAAGTAAAGCCATAGAATTGTTATCCAAGAATTAAAAACAAATCTAGACAATCCATGTAAAACAGATCTATATCTCTCAAAGATTCATCTGATTGAAATCAAAGTGCATTATTAACATTGCCTCTTCCCTCTCTCCAAAATGGGAGCATGCCTGTTCACCTCCAGCATGCCTCGTCCTTTATTCCCAAGGCCATGAGAGCATAGCAAATGCCTCCACGCTAAGACTCATGCACTCAGTGATATGGCAAGATTTCCAGGTACACCTAGGCCCATTTTCATTTCTCCTCTTCCTTTAAGGATGGTTATATGGATTCAGAAGCAATTCTTACCAAAAAGTATTTGAAGCTATCGGGAATATTTTGCAAATGTAAAAACTAAGTTACCCCGTCATTAGTCCTGTAAACTCAACTAGATGAATTTAAAAATAATTATTAAAAGTCATTATTTTTTTAGTTTTTAGATTGGCATTATATTGAATACTAAAGTCAGTTCTCTAAATTGGGGATCTTAAAATATTTCAATTGTAGGAGGCTTCATGAAAATCTAATTAACATGCTAGTGGTGTATTTTCCAAAGACAAACATAAATTCAAATGTTTTTGTTCACTACCCTAATTTAATTCATTTTAAAGTTATTGCATACTGATGATTTGTTACTTGCCTGGGAAATACTACATAGACAGACTTCAAAAGTAAAATAAAATATTTGAAATGAATATTATAATTTAAATTTGCTATTTTCCTACTGTCTAAAAAGTTAATTACATAAAAAAAGTGCTTTCTTCATCCTTTTTATTACTATTTCCATGGCAGGGTGGGTAGTAGAAAACACAGATTTTAAAAAGTTGTAGTATGCTATTCCATTGGAAAAAAAAGTCAAAGAATTAAGTTCATATCTTTGTTACATGTATGTTCATGTGTGTGTGCATATGTATGTGTAAAATTTTTTAAAAGGTTTACCAAATTAGATTTATTTTAAATTGTTGACTATTTTTTAAGACTGTACATGAGAGGTTTTAGGTCAAATATTTTTTTAACAACTTATTTAGTATTGATTTAATTTGTCAGTTTTAGCAAATGAAGCAAAATTTAACTAAGGTTAAATATAAGGCAACTCTAACATGATAAATGATTTTTTTAACCTAATACATCAGTATGGGACATTTTGTAAAGTTAGCTCATGAAATCTCCAGGTTTCTTAAGGAAAAAACCTTAACCTTTGCTACATGCACAGAGATTACACTTTTTTGGTATGTATCTTACTAAATTTCAAAATGAGCAAGTACGACAGAACTTGAGATACACCTGATCTAACCATTTTAAATTTCTTTAGTGTTTATATCAAATCTGTATGATAGAATATGCAGTGGCAGCTGTAGAAAGGGACCGGTTTATTTTCTCTATGTATTTTAGATTTCTTTTTTGTTCACTGAGTTTGCCTTCATTTTATTAAAGGTACCACCAAATTATAGAGGTTTTGTTATTCACTATTATATGAAACATGATGATTCAGTTAAAAAAATTTTTAAACTATTAAAATTGTAATAATTATCTCACTTCAAGTAAAGAAATGATCCAGTTCAATCAAAAGGGAATTGTTTTTTTAATTGTATTTTTATTCTCAACTTTGAGCTTTGATATATTTATACTATTTATATATTAATTTATAATGTTTCATGTCTATCTTTAAAAATAGACAAACTTAAACAATAACCTTTCTTCATGGTTTGATTAATTTACTTCAATCCACCTGACCGCTTTACTGATTCATCAGCTACACATTTTCATGGTTGATGGCACTGGTGTCAGCCAGGCGATGGCAACAAACTGAACTGATAATGATGGCTTAAACAGTTTTATAGCAATGCTAATAATAGGAGGAAAGATGCCTATCAAACAAATGATTTTCACAGAAAAAGAAACGTCTGAGTGAATAATTTTCTTGGATTTTCCCCAATTATATAAGGAAATGTTGCCAAGATTCTTACTGTGACTAGAATTGAGAGACCTGAGCTGTATTTGGAGGTTTTATGGTAACGAGCTTTGTAGCCTGGTTCATTCACTGGACCTCTTGTCCCCTGACAAGAAAATTACCAACTAAATGAGAGAGTTAGAATAAAGGTGCCTTTCAACTCAAAATATATGTGATATTTAAAGAGAGTATGGTACAGTTAAAGAGAGCAAGACATAATCAATCTGACCAATAATCAGTTATCAGCTTGGGTACTTCTTAACTCTGTGACTATAATCAGATACTTCAACACTTGAACTTCAGTTTCTCCATTTGTAAATTGAAACTACAGATACCTGATTAGATAAGCCATTATGAGGACTGAAATATATATGTAAAGCGACCAATAACATCACTAAATTGATGGCACCTAACTGTTCAACCACTTGTCAATCCTATTACTGTTACTCTTTTGAGTCAATGACAGGAATTCTGTAAAATTTGTATGAAGGTGGCAAATGACACTTGACGTAAAGCTTGAGACTGTATTTGAAAAGCAAATTCTGGGAAAGCAAACATTTAGAAGACTTAGAAGGGAGATGAATATTCCCAGCACAAAGGAGTGGCTCTAGTTAACAGTGTATGGCGAACGAGTCCCTTGCACATAACCTACTTGGTGTTTCTTATCTCTTTCCATTTCTGCAGGCGAACGTCCCTTCCACTGTAACCAGTGTGGAGCTTCTTTTACTCAGAAGGGCAATCTTCTGAGACACATAAAGTTACACTCTGGAGAGAAGCCGTTCAAATGTCCTTTCTGCAGCTATGCGTGCAGAAGAAGGGATGCCCTCACAGGACACCTCAGGACCCACTCTGGTAAGTGTCAGCAGCTCTTGGAGAAGAAAGCTACAACTTGAGAATCCAGGAGACTGCTGTGGATAAGACAGAGTACCTTACAGTTTTGGTACATAGCTAGGAATGGCCTAGACAGTACTTTTATTTGTGCACATTGAAAAACTGAGGAACGTTGCAAGATGCCCGTGGCCCTTCTTATGGACCTGGCGAAAGGAGCACTGTCAACTGAAGTCTCTCATTTCAAGCCACTGAAGTAAGAAAACAGCTGTTACAGAAGTTTTCTCTGATTTTTTTATCTTATAATGTGAAATATATTTACATGCTGATGCTACCATAGAGGAGAGGAAAGCTGTGATTTTTTTATTATTATTTTTTTACTATTTACAGCATCTGGGCTGAGATCTCAGTGGGCAGTTAAATATTGCTATTTTTGAACTTGAAAATATTATGCTCATTAGAAAATTGGCTATTGGAATATGTTATATTTCCTTTTAACTCGTGTGTGTGTGCACGCGTGTGTGTGCACGTGCATGCGTGTGTGTGTGTGTGTGTGTGTGTGTAACTCTCAAAACAGTAGTCATTGGATGCTTTCTGGAACTTTTCTCTACTTCATAAATCATCATTAAAAATCTGGAATAAGTTTGATTTTTTTTTAAATGCTAGAATATAGTACCTAAAAGAGAAGGCATGATTAGAAATTTGATTGAATCTCATTTGACTTTTAGCATGAATTGCCATAACCAAGAAGTTAAAGATGGAAAATTAATATAGAATACTCTCAAGCTAGCTTTATATGCTCTTTCTATTTCTAGTGATATTAAAATTTAATTTTATTATAAAGTTATGATGGAAGTGATGTTTTCATCTACATTGACAAATGTATTAGAGTCCTGTGGATTGTGAGGTAATGCTTATATTATCTTTCTTCACAGTTTTCCTGTTAAGTCTTAAGGTTTTACCAAGTTTTTTAATATAAATGTAAAATATGTAAAACTATTTAGATATTAACTCAAATTTGGGGCAGTTACAGAAAAATGAAATTATTGCAGGCATTAAAACAAAAATTGCACTTTCCTCCCTGACTCAAAGTAATTCACTTATTTCCAACTATGACATTTTATATTTTATTTTGAAATTATGCTATGAAAACAGATATTATCTGAAAGTAGTGTTTTATTATAAAGATTATTATTTATCATAAGATTTTTAAGACATGAAAATTTTTTTGGCTAGTCATGTACTCTGGCTTATTAACATGTGAATTTGCCCAAGGATTATATAAAACATAGCTTTTCACGAACATATCTATTGCAAGAGGTTGAGGCAAAAACAACATTAAATATCTATTTATTTTTTAAAAATTGTGCTGCTTTTAATATTATGGTTTAGTGTACACATGTTTCTTTACCTGGTGATTGCTACCTTCCTAGAAGGTTCAGTGCCTGCTGACACCTCTGGAAGGCATTCGATATTCATCTCAATTTCTGTCTCCTTGCATTCCTTTTTGTTCTTTTAATAGATCCGTCTCTGTGGGTGGTGTCTCACAAGTGAAGACACCTTGGTTTTCCTGTCAGGTTGAGCTGGGCAACTGCAATTAGCTTCTGTATGCAAATTAGGCATGGCCCATCGGAGGCACCTGCTTGGTGGGTGATAAAGTGAGGGGAGGGAAAGATGTCCCTCCCAAAGTAGGTCACTCTCATTAGCTTTGGCCAGGTCAGATCCTTAACATTATTTCCATGGTTTTGTGTAATTGTAAAGTTTGTGTGTATAAGTTGAAGCTGTTTCTGTGAAACTGTATATATTTTTAAAAAGTATATTGCTACTTTGAAGTTTCAAAAAAAATTATGGCCCATATAAATACTGATTTTGCAGTTTGGTGTATCAGGGCATGATTTTTGCTAATATAAACAGCAAACTTAAACTGACTAATTAAAAAGAGTTTATAGAGTTAGAGGGAGAGAAGGTTGTCATTCAGCTACAGCATCACCAAGGGGTGATATTAATTCAGTCATCCTTCCAACTGAAATCTAAAATATTAGCCATCATCAGTGCTTTTCATAACCGATGAAACATGAAGCAAAGCTGTTAAAGTCCATGCTTCTTTAATTGATCTGGAAGCTCAAATTGATCATCACAGCATTCTTCTTCTACTGCCAATTCTAGCTTTCCCTTACCTTCTTTTTAGCACCTGGGCTGGACAGGTTTCTTTATCTGATGAGTGACCCAAACCTTAATTTCTACTAGTTCTGAGTACTGTGGTCCTGCCTTTCTTGGATTCCTGTAGTTTTGCAGTAACCAGAATTATTGAGGAAGTTTTTGTGAAGAAGCGCTCCAGTGAATCTCCTGAATTCTGAACACAGCCACCCTTGCCCCTATCACACAGGAACAACCCAAAATCATCTTAGTATCCGGAAAAAATTACCAACCAGTGGCCCACTCCTGTCCCTGTAGTTCAGCAGCTAGAGATGCCCTGGACAGCCAGGGAGGAGTCTACTCTCGAAACAGCAGTGCCAGAACTCTCATCCATGGTGGTAACGTTCTTCCCTGGGGCACTGAGATCTCCAAAACCACCAATCCCGAGATTTCAGCACAGGGAGAAAAATCCTTTAAATGAGTTATTGGATATATTTGTTTTGTGGTCACTCCTTCCTTAACCTCTTTTCTCAGACTCGTGTGTGTGGTTATGGAGGAGATGTTATTAGGCATATAGCATATCCTATAGAACACACCCAACTTCTCCCAGCAGGCAACCGTGCATGGACCACTCCACTGGTAGGCCATTTACCACTCCGTTGAGCCAGGTGATTCTGGATCACGGAACATGAGGCCCAACCAGTGGAATATGTAGGTCTGAGCCCATTGTTATATTTCCTCTGCCATAAAATGAGTTTCCTGGTTGAAAAGAATACTTTAAGAAATACCATGGTACTTAGTGAGGCATTCTGTTAAATCCAGATGTAGAGGAGCTTGCAAAAGTATTGAACGAAAGGGATGTAAATCTATACCTGGAATATATATTACATCCTATGGGGATAAGTTTCTCCCTCTCTCATATTGGAAGCTGTCCAAGGTAACCTGCCTGCTACCAATTGACAGGTTAATCTTTCTGGGGTCTCAGTGTTAGGAAGCTGTGAAGTCAGGACTGGTGGCAGTAAATCAGTCATAGAGAGGGAGAAGTCGGTGTTGTTGAATCCATAACACAGCGTCCCCGCTGTCGCTTTGCACATGGGCCACTTCCTTTGAGCAGGCACAAGAGTAGCTAAGTTAAGGCTCTGATTGACATTGGTAAAATAGATGGTCTGATTGGTTTGGGTCACGCATCAGATACTCTTGTCCAGATTACTGAGAGCCTTCTCCACAGTGGATACCTTTCAGAGGGCATTCACATGGGACATGTCATCACACTCTGTACCGATTCTGAGAGGCTCATTCACACAACTCTCTCTCAGACCTTCTAGCACCAATTTCCCAGTCGTTTTTTTTCAAGTCCTTGACCATATGGCCATACCATGTGACATTACCTTAAATACCTCTCCTTCCATGTGGGGTGTACAGTCTGAAATTCTGCTTGGGGATATTGTTTCACTACTGTATTTCAGGGCCAGCCCCCTTCATTGGGCCCATAACATAGTGATTACGGTTCATACCATATACCATGCAGTCCACTTACAAACTAGGTCCACACAGTTTCATTCTCCATTTATTAATCACTGAGAATACCCCATGAGGCCATAAGTGTGTCTTGAAGAGAGATTGTGAAGCAGTGTAGCGGGTATCGGGGACACCTGAGCTATTTGTTCATGAAGTTAACTTGGGCTTCCCAAACCTGCATGGTCCCAGTTTCATTTACAATGAAATGCTCTTGTGCACATCTTATCCAATGTTATACTGAGTCAGATAACACCTAGTTCATTTTGTGTAGTTGGGGCCACATTGTCATTTGGAGTTCTGTGGCCCAGTGCTCTCAGACTTAAACAGAGTCCAATATGAAGATAGGAGGAACTTTTAAAAGTGAGAATAGTTAGCCGTGGCTGGTATGGTTCAGTTGGTTGGAGCATTGTCCAGTAAACCAAAAGGTTGTAGGTTCGATTCCTGGTGAGGGCACATACCTAGGCTGTGGACTCAGTCCCCAGTCTGGGCACATGCGAGAGGCAACGGATCAATTTTTCACTCTCACATCAATGTTTCACCGCCCCGCTTCTTCTTTGTCTAAAGTCAACAGCATGTCCTCAGGTGAGGATTAAAAAAAGGGGAGAATAGTTATTGGTACAAGATTGCATGTCTTTTCTTCAACAACAACAACAACAACAACAAAAAAGATCTGCACTTTGATACTCCTGTTGACAGGGATGTTTTACAGCCACAGACATTTCCAAAACTCACTGCATTGCCGGATCTTAGAGCCAGAGGCATAGGGTGGCTTTCATCATAGCCAAGGTATGTGCAGCAGATCCTCTCCTCGCCCCAGTCCTCTCTCAGCGCTGATGGCCTGTGGAATACCTGGTGCGTGCATCAGAGCAGCATACCCAATGTGCAGTATCTTTTTCCAAAGTCGAATGAATGCACCACATTCGTGCCTTCTTCTTCATGATACATGCAAGGGGCAGCGAACTGTCATTTGCTATAGAGGATCCATTTCAACATGGGCAGACCACTAGGCCCATAGCATTTCACCAGTGCTGCCAGCCTCTGAACTTTTCAGGGAGTTTATCTCCTGTCCTCTAGCATATATCTTCCTGAGGTATCTTAGGTATTTACTACTTCCTGCTCATCAAGTCCAATCAGTATACCATGTTCCAGCTAGATGTTCTGTGAGATGTCAAGATGAACAAGATTTCTTTGGACTGTATTATGACAAAGGAAAGTTGACCTAACCTTAAGGTAAGATAGTGAAAGTATGCTGTTCCAGTAATGTGAAGGCAAACTGCTTCTGATTATCTTTGTTGATAAGGAATTATTTTTAAGAGAAATCGTTAATATCTTCATACCTGGTGTCAGGGGCTATTTTAATATGATCCAGT